TTCTACTTTAATTGGAATAGGGGAAATAAAAAACCCAAGCATAATGAATTTTACTTTACTTATCCGATCCGAAGTAACTTTCATTAGCAAATTGACTGCAATCCTTTTCTGTCCGTAAGGATCCCACCAGAGCGCCCTCTACTTCTAATAGGCCATGAAGGACCCTTGAAACAAATAGACGCGTCCCGAGTTCCATACAGATGACTTTTCAATACAATTTCTTTCAAATTCATTAAAATGTCATGTACTGATTCTTGAATACCCGCTATGGTAGAATATTCATGTGGTATCTTATCAGATTTTGCACTTGTGATACACGTCCCTTGTTCCTACATGACCTGATCCATTAGATCAGACACTCGCTATCTATTTTCATTGTTCAATTCTTTGACAACATGAAAAAACCAAAAGCTTTGCCCCCCCTCTCGATCTATCCAAGGGATAGAAGGGAAGAGATTTGTTTTTTTTTATTTTTTGTATTAATTTTTATATTATTGTTACTTCGAAACATGTAAAGATTTATTAATCTTATTAATATTTTGAACTTGGTAAAAAAATGGGATTTAATAACTGAAAAAAAAAGTTATTTAAGAAAATTCTTTGAATGCGAAAATTACGTATTGAGTTTGAATTCTTGTATCCATAATTCAAAAAGTTTTTGTGATTCTTTCCAAATAAATGAAATAAAGTCCGTTTTGAAATCGTCTGCCCTGCCCGAGTATATGCTTCAACAGGAATCACACAGGGGTAGATTAGAAACCTCTGGTAAAATGCCCACTACCCATAACCCAGCGGATAAAGTACATTACATAGTCCGTTTTAGGGATTGGCGACTTACAAGTTTTGGATCGAACCAATCCATTGACCCAAATAGTTCATGGAAGAAAATTGAGTTATTTGGGCCCCGGGGGATTGACGGGACGAACTGCTAGTTTTCGGATACGAGATATCCACTCTAGTCACTATGGACGCATTTGTCCGATTGACACGTCGGAAGGAATCAATGTTGGCTCTGAATCATAGAACGATAATGAAATACACGATCAACCAACATTTATCAAATTTGAAAAAGAGTCAGAAAACCCTTTCTTCTGTATCTGTATGAATCGAGATTCTTACATTCCAATTCCTTCCCGATACCTCCCAAGGAAAATAAAATCCCGAAATTGACGGGTTGATACTCAAATTGGAATTTGCACCAAAACAAACAGATAGAACCTAAATTCGAATAATCCCAATTCATTGGGCCTTTCGATACAATCAAATAGAAAGCCCCAAGGGCGCCATATTCTAGGAGTCGTAGCAATCTATTCTATGAATTTTTTAATTATTTCTCGCGTGAGAAAATAATCCCACAAACAAAGGAATTGTACAATACAGTACGAAATAACGTAAAAACACACTCATTAATCAAATTTGTTTATTTTAAGGCCCCAAAGAAACTGTCTACCTGAGACTGACCCTTGGCCCGTAGGTCCTGGCAGAAGGTTAGAATTCTAGCTCTTCCAGAGTGGTATCTCACTGATGGCTCGGGAAGAGGTTTTGAATTCAAGCATGGTAATAGAGAAAATAATTTAAGGAGAGTTATCCCTTGTAATAAGTTCGATAATATTTGAATCGGATTAATCGAATAATCGATGAATTAATAGATATATTCCAATAAATATAACATTGAACAACTACCAAATATGTAAATCAATTGGCAATAGTTGTCTCACCTCAATTAGTGGTTATAAATTCAAATTCTCAATATACATATATAAGAAACCATGGATGTTTTAATTCCATGAGTAATGAATAAGAAGTTGGAAATGGAGGAAATGAAGGGGATATAGCAATTAGGTGATGTGTGGTTCATTCCCATTGATTTCCCCAAGAGGCATTCCATATTTGTAAAGGAAGGAAGATGTACGTGATGTGTGGTTTACCACACGATGTTGCTGTTGCAGCCATTTGGCTCAGTACGGCTGCTGCACATATTGTAAATAATTTTTATTTAAAATTTTTAACTTATTATCCAAAATGCCTATGTCTTTATTAGAAACTTCCATAATTATCCCTAACGGTACTCGACGGTTTTTCCTCAGACCGTCGCAATTCTTCATCGTTTATAAATTGATCGAACGCGACCGTTCGTTAGTATAACATTGATAGCTTAGGAGACTTAACTCAATTTTCTGATCACATACTGACATTCTGTAAAATTAACTCACTCTTATTGATTGCCCCTTGGGGCATCCCACTTTTGTAAAAGGGGAAGACGTAGGTGATGTATGGTTTACCACACACACGCAACTGCCGTCCTGCTGGCTCAACACGGCTGCCATGTGCATGAGAAATAAATTTTTATTTAAAATTATTTATCCAAAATGCCCTTGCCTTTATTGAAAATTTCTAGAATTATCCCAAACGGTCCCCAACTGTTTGCCTTCAAATTGTCACAATTCCTCATTGTTTCCAAACCAATCGGATGCGTCGCTCACCGGGATAGGATCGATGGCTTCAGAAAATTAACTCAATTTTCCAATCCCATACCAACATTTTGTAAAATTTATTCTTCATTCTTCCATCTCTTGTGTGATTTTTCCAAGTATTCAATTGTGTCCGCCCGGGTTCTTGATTCGTAATGTCATCGTTCTTGAAACGAATCCATTCTACTATGGGAGGTGATTGTCCACTATTCTTTGATATTGGTAAAGACGGCAAATTCACTTTTGATTGGGCTCGAATTTTTTGCATTTGTTACCATTTACTATGTATTCCTAGTTTCTTATTTCTTTACTGTCTTGGTTTTAGATTAATGTTGACAAATTCTTCAATTCTTATACTTTGATTAACACACACTACACTAACAACACGTGTGTCATAAACTTGGTACTATACAACTTGAATCGGCCTAATAAAATAATGTCAATGAAAAATAAAATAAAAAATAACATTGAAGAAGTATAGAAAATGGGCATTACGTTTCTGTAGTTGATACAGAAAGTAAGAGTGTATTAAATTAAGATTTTAAAAGTTTTTTTTGAAATAAAAAATCTAATAGATTTTAAAAGACTATTTAGAATTGGAGGAACTTTAAGACTTTTTTAAAAGATATTTTTTACAATCAAAATTTCATATGATTGGATTTTAAACGATTTTGATATAATTTATAAGATTTGAAAGGACAATGTAGATTTATAAGATTTTAAAAAATCATATGAATTTTTAACAAACATTCTAAATTACAAGAGTCAATAAAAAAAGAAAAAAGAAATGCAATGATATTAATAAAAAAATAACCTAATATAATTTTCTCAATCAGTAAAATTCATGATAAAACTTCGTTTGGAATTTTTTACAATTGATCTTGTAAACTTTAGGGTTTTTGTTCAACGTGATGAGAGTTTTCTAACCATATATCATATGCATGTTTTCATTGAGTATCTCAAGAAAATTTTGAATCTGAATTTCTGGGTTTTATTACATGAAAATTTAGAAAATTTCTCAAATTATTTTCAATCGACACATTGAAATCTTAAATTGTTTTGCGGCTTTTGAAAAATAACTTTTTAGTGATCTATTGACACAATTTTTATTGAAATCGTTTCCTATAACGGAGGAATTTCGTTCATGAATGTATGGTTATTAAACATAACGTTCATATTATAAAAGTTTCAATATTTCTTTAAATCAATATTATTTCATTTATTTAAAACAAAAAATGGTTTTTTTTTGGGGGGGGAGGGATTGTTCCGGTGTTTTTTCCCCCACTATTCTATGTTATTTTTAATACAAAAATTACACATTTTTGTGCTAAGAAAAAATCGCAATCAATAGCTTGAAAAATTAGTTTTTAAACTTCCATAAACTCTTAAAAATTGCTCAAAAATCTGCTGTTTTTGAGCTTTGATGAACCTTTCATGGCGGAACTCGATTTCGAGCAGGTTGACCCGCCAAAGAAATAAGAAGACACTGCAATAAATAAATCTCAAGATATCATAGGGGTTAGGGTGAAATTGTGAGAAAAATATCCTATTTATATTTCTCACTAAAAAGTCTCATGAAATCTACACCAATAAAAAATCCATTAAAATTGTTAGATTTTTGAGTACCACAAGATTGTTTTTCCTTTGTTTAAAATTCTTATTGAATACCAATGGATTTGGACGGGCTCTAAAATAATGATTTGTACGGACTCTGAAATAATCTTTTAAAATCCTAATTGAATATCATATAATTTTTTTTCGATCTTTTAAAATCTTTATTGAATACTAATGATTTTTTGTCCAAAAATAATCTATTAAAATCATTTGAAATCCCAATTCGATACACCCTTAATTCTTTGAGACAAAATCATAAACCCTCAAATTTTTTTAAAATAAAAAATAAAAAAAATAGCACCAACTTTTAATGTGAGAGCAACTGCAGAAGTTGATACAAAAATAATTTTCTCACAAATAAATATACTAAATGGTTTTTAAAATAAAGTTAAGGACAGTATGTTTTATTTGATTTTTTTAAATTTTGTTTGAGGAAACTACTTGCAAGGTAAAAGAAAGTAGCAGGCAAAGGCCGGTCAAGTCTCACGAATGATATCATCAATCATCATGGATAACTGCTACTAAAAAATTTTCAAACAAAAAAAAAAAGTGAATTTTTGAATTTGTTAATAGTAATTATTTCCAAAAGCTAGAAGATTCTATTTGATTACTGGTTTTTGTCTCATTCAGTCACTTTCGTAGTAACAGCTTCAATAGTATAGGCCATAGGGGGTAAAGGAAAAGTAGCAAGCGGCAACATTTCTCAATTTCCCTTTTCACTTTTAAAAAATAAAAATAAAAATAAAAATACTATATTATTAATATGTTCAAATAAAAAATCAAATTATTCAAATTATTATTATTATTAGTAGTAGTATTATTAGTTTGTATACAAATTAAAAAAAATGAAGATAGTGTGAACGGGTAATATAAATATATAAATGTGCTCTTTATAATTTTCTACTCGCTTCTCAACTGTCTCTCCGTGTTCATCTCGCGTGCATAGCAGTCAGAAAAACACAGCGAATAAGAGAAGTGAATCAGAGAGAGAGAGAGAGAGACTAGAGAGAGAAACTAGAAAAAACCCCTTTTGACTATTGCGCCTTCGTTTCCATTTTTCCGTTGATTCTTGCAACCAAAGCCTTATTTTCTGATCTGGGCGGTGGTTCTCTTTGTGATCAACCACAAAACTCAGATCTTTTTCTGTTCCCCGATTCGGATTCGAGCACCCAGTTGCGTTTCTCTTTCTGGGTGTTCATTTTTTCGACCAAAGTTTCGGTTTTGCAGAGTGGGAAAGTATATATATATATATAAAAAAAGGGGATTGGTTTTATCTGGGTTTCACACAGATTGGCCAATCATGTTGACTTTAACAGTGTGGTTATGAAGTAATATGGAAGTGCTCCTTACACCCATAACTCAAGAACAACAACAAGAACAACAACAAGAACATGTCGTTTTACATTGGTCGCGAGGCTTCAAAGGTTGCTCTTTTTTATTTTTTTTTAACTCATCTGGGTATTGCTCTTTTTCTTTGTTTGGTGTTGTGTTGTTTGTTTTAATCTATATCTCTGTTTATGTAGCTATGGAAGAGAATTTGTGCAGAGACAACCACAGAGCTCAACCTCCTTGCAGATAATTGGAAGTACCTTCTCGCTGGTCTCGTTTTTCAGGTTTTTCCTATTTTGATGAGCCTTGTGTAATAGTTGAGTGTGATTCTTCAAGTTGTGGTTTCCCTTTTTTGAAGAAAGCTAAGGTTATTTTGTTTTCCTTTGATGAGGAATAGAAGATTTCTGTAAGCGTTTTTTGAGTTGTTGGAACTTTACTTACATGCTACAAAAAGTTTGCTTTCTTCTTTATGTTGGTGGTGTGGTAACTTGTACCACTTGCTTGCTATTTTTATTTATTTATTTATTTGGGTTAGTAACAAGGCTTATAATACTAACACTTGGTTTAATCACTGAATCTTATTTTGTCAACAATTATACAAGTGTCAGGGTTGATGAATTGGTGTTTTAATGAGGGAATTGTAACTGTTTGAAGCATCGTTAATCATATTCTGCAACTAGGATGCTTTGGCATTCGATGATCCATGCTTTGGATTTGGACTTTTCCAATTATTTACTCCGTCTCAAATACAAATTTACTCTCAATTCTATGTGGATTTCAGGACCTCTCTCGTGATGATCAAATGTTTCATTTACCTTATTGGAAACTTTTAATAATTTGCAGCTAGTTGTTGAGGGAAATATTTTATTGAGAAAAGAGGAAGAAATAAGAATCACAAATTTTTGTATACTGTAGTATATCTTTGTATATTTTCTATCCTTGTTTTCTATTTTATGCTTAAGGTGTGACAGTTTAATACATTGGTTTACTTGGTTATTTGACATACTTTTATTTTCTTTTAATGTTTGATATCTAAATTTATACTGTTTCCTGACAGTATATACATGGTTTGGCTGCCCGAGGCGTTCATTATTTACATAGGCCTGGCCCTATTCTACAAGATGTTGGATTCTTCTTTCTTCCGGTTTGTAATTGTCATTTCCTTCTTTTTCTCTCACCCTGAAAAATTTGTACATAGAATGATAGGAATACCCTTATAATTTTTAATCGTGGTCCTGTTATAGGAGCTGGGGCGAGACAAAGCTTACATCAGTGAAACTCTATTCACCATTATCTTTATATCCTTTGTCTTGGTATGAATTCCCCTCTTCCATCTCTTTTTATTGGCTTTCACATATTATCTGTATGAGTGTATTATGTTAGCATTTAACTTTTTTGATATTTTGGAGAAGGGGCCCCTTGTGCTAGGTCATATTTTACCTCCTATGGTATCACAATTCATTAAGACAGAATTAGATATTGTACTAAAAATTCCATTTTATTTTTTGGTTTGACACTTCTCAAGGTTATTATGGCTTGATCATGCATGTGTGTGCCAAGTTAACTGGTGAGACTGACACACTCTGGTGCTTCAAAGTTCTAAACTGCTGAAGCCTGATATATATTTTCATTGTGAATTTGTGAGTTCTGAAAGTTACACATGAAGATTTTCGATGTGTTTGTACTCACTATTAAGAATGACTTGTCCCAAAAAATAAAAATTGAATGAGAAATGAAATAAAAGAAAATATTATCTTATTTTGTAGGGTAAAAGTGTTCTTTTACAGGTTAATTACTGATTTTGCAGAAGGATTATTTGCTGTTGATTCTATGGCTTTATTCCTTTTTAATTTTTGCTTGATATTTTGCTATTGCAAGAGTCTGCAGCTTGACGATAAGCTCATATAGCCATACTCATTTTCCATTTTTATCCCTTTGGCCAGTAATGGTTTATTTTCTGTTATCTTCTCATTTAAACAAGTATAATTTTTTATTTTTACTTTTCCTTTGAAGTTTCAGTGATATATTCTTTGATATGTGCTTCTGCAGTGGACGTTTCATCCTTTCATATTGAAGGGCAGAAAGATATATACAGTTCTAATATGGTGCAGAGTTCTAGCATTCTTAGTTGTAAGTGTTGACCACATTTAAATTCTTTAAATTGAGTTGTACCTATTGTGTATATATGAATATGCCAGTTTTCTCAGTGCATCTCATAACTGTATATTTGTTTACTGCAGGCTTCTCAAGTTCTGCGCATAATCACATTTTATTCTACACAGCTTCCTGGTCCAAACTACCATTGCCGTGAGGTATAATTGTTTGAGAATACGTGCTTATAAAACATCATGTCACATGCTGTATTTAAGTATCACTTCTCTTGATCAGTGTAAATTGCATATATGTGTGAGATCTTTTATTCTTTTCAATTGTTATATAATTTATACTGTTTAATTTATCACGCAGGGTTCTAAACTTGCCACATTGCCTCGTCCAGATAGTGCCTTTGAAGTCCTCTTTATTAATTGTTAGTATACATTATTGTATTCTAGTTTTTTAGCTTTGATATATGTGGTTGTTTTGGCACTCATTTCAATTTCAATTTGCAGTTCCACGAGGTATTGTATATGGATGTGGTGATTTGATATTTTCATCACACATGATCTTTACTCTTGTTTTTGTGCGTACATATCAGAAATATGGCGCTAGAAGGTAAAATTGGCTTATAAATCTCTTTCATCTGGTCTCTTGAAGAATTAAGCTTGTCAGGAGATTTGCTATGTTCAAATTTAAATTCTGATTTGTGGTGATTATTGATGCATCACTAGGATTATAAAGCAGCTAGGGTGGTTGCTTGCTGTGATTCAGAGTCTTTTGATAGTAGCATCTCGCAAACATTACACGGTTGACATAGTTGTTGCCTGGTAAGGAGCATTTTCTGCTTTGTGATGGGAAAACTGTGATTTTTTTTTTTTGTTGGTAAAAACCAACCTGTGTCCAAAACCCTAACGAATCAGACTAATCTGGTTTTGGGTTTGAACCTCTCCATTATATTCCTTGGAGTTAATCTTACAAAACATAGTTGTTGCCTGGTAAGGAGCATTTTCTGCTTTGTGATGGGAAAACTGTGATTTTTTTTTTTTGTTGGTAAAAACCAACCTGTGTCCAAAACCCTAACGAATCAGACTAATCTGGTTTTGGGTTTGAACCTCTCCATTATATTCCTTGGAGTTAATCTTTGGTCACTGGCTTACAGGTACACTGTTAATTTGCTGGTATATTTTATTGACAAGAAATTGCCAGGTAATTACAGTCATTTTATATAACTATATGTATGCTATTGTTGTTTAATTGTGCTGCTTTTTGCTGTTGTTCTGACTCAGTTATTCTGCAGAATTGCCCGATAGGTCAATTGCAGCTGCAAGCCTGTTACCATTGAGCACCAAAGACAAAGAGGGCTGGACCAAAGAGGAGAACCACAAGCTAATGAATGGGAATTCTGGAGATCCTGCAGATTGGGTATGGTGAACCTACTTGTCCTTTTCCTTGTTCCTTTTGTGTAATGTCTTTGTCTGTGTATAGACATAACAATGTTATTTTTCACTTTCTCAGAGGCAGAGAACTCTAGTGAATGGCAAGATTATGGAAGATGGCAATACACTTCATGCTGACTCTGCCATGAATGGTGCATAGAAATAGGAGCCTCCACTGTACAAATTGGATCCACTGCAAGACTCATGTGGAAAAGCTGCGACCCTTCAATTAGAAGATTTTGTTGCCTGAACGTTCACTTGTTAATTCTCAGATTAGTATCATGATTTGTATTAGTGAAATTGAAACTGGGTTGTACTTTTCAACATTTTGCAGCCCTGATCCGTTGCATGGTTAAATTAACTAGCATCAGCATGTGCCATAGAAAATTTTCCATTCCCTCCTATCTACTACATCATAGATACCATGTGCATATTTCTGCAAAGTCCATTTTTATTGGTTTATTTTATTCTCCTTTGCACTCACATGGCAACCTAGTGATCAGTGCTATGTAAGGATTCTAATGTTAAAAAAAGGTAAATTTCGGTTCTTAGACCAACTTTTCCTAGTTAAAGTAAATGGACACGGGATTGAGGTGATTACTTGTTATTGGGGGTCTCATTTTCTTCGAAATTATGAGGTTGGTGGTTTATCAAAAGACAATGAAGCATGACTTATTCTTAAAATTTGAGATGGTGACACGTGACATGAGCAAGCACATGGTGTTTTTGACTCTGCATGTGCTTTCTTTTTTTACGCATGGCAATGCTTTTATGTCGATTGTCCCATTCCTTGTCCCTCGTCTACTATCCCTATTTGGATGTTGAAGTTCCCTTATATCGAAATAGGTTTCCGTTTATAATACTTATTGCTGATGTAGCACATCACATGCATCTTTTCCTTTGCACATGGGCCACCCCATCTTCATTTTCACGCGTTTTGTGGCCCTTTACATTGCTCAAACACTTGATCTAATCGAATGGGGTATCATGTTTCTCAACAATGTTGTCAATTCAGCAACCATGAACAGTTATATTAGTAAAAGCTTGTGGCCATGTATATCTAACCTTATTTATTACATCCAACATTGCTCTCAGCTTGCGGTATTTGTTGCCTAATTAAAGCAAGATACAAGTAGCTTCCAAGGATGACATCATACTGGTTTAATATATGCATCACTAAGAGAATAGATCAAGTTTTTCGGAACAGTGACAAAATGTCACCGAACCCAATTCCTACGGTGATGAATATAAGCGCAATTGAAATTCCTGGGGAGTTATACATTTGTGTATTAATAAGACCGTTCACTATTTCTTGAAGCTCGATCTCTCCCCCGGATGAACCATATAGCCAAGAGGCTGGCCCAACTTAGACGGGATATGATCGCTTCTTTGTGGTCTAACATTCTTGCTAATACATTATCTTCATTCTGTTCTGGATTATAATCTCTAATAAAAAAGATAGCTCCATGAGCAAAAGCCCCCGGACGTTTCCAAAATCAAATGGGTACTGTACTCTCGGGTCGAGGGAATTCAATAATAGACACCTGTTAGCATTCCAGTTCACCAAGTTTTTTACCTAAATGTCACGCGAACAGTGTTATTTTTCAATCTGCCATGGGGGCAAGTTCGCTACCCGGTGTAGAGAACTCGGTTTGCTGACGTGTCACGTTTCTAGTGGACATCAAGTTCGCTACACGGGGTAACCAAGTTCGCTACCCAATGTAGCGAACTCCATATTTTTTTTTTAACTTGGTACTTGTTATCCACTAGAAATGTGACACGTTAGCAAACCGAGTTCGCTACACCGGGTAGCGAACTTGTCCCCGTGGCAGATTGAAAAATAACACTGTTCGCGTGACATTTAGGTAAAAAACTTGGTGAACAGTGACATTTTGGTCGGTGTTCCAAGTTTTCCCATCAATGGATCCCTATACATTTGGGAATATAAATATTTTTTTTTTGGTAAGGTATAAATATTTGCATGTGCTTTCTTTGAGGCCCATGCAAATGACATAAGGTTTTTGAATTCATTGTTATTTTAAGTCAAGCTAAAAGCATCAATGAAAATTGACCAAAATAATGTCCTTGGATGTTGTTTATTATATTGTTGCTTATTCAACATTTGAAGGAGACCAATTGTAATCACAGAAAAGTTAGGCTGGTCATGCATGTGGATGTGGCCTTTCTGTTTAACTCAAAAAAGCAAAGGGTGTCGCTAATAATATAAATTATATGATTCCAGATGCCCCACATAAAACAGCAACGATGGCATGTAACAAAAAGGTGGTGCTTGCGCAATTTAAGCTGGAAAAGTTGGTCAATGTAGAAAAGGGTGGCATACTCATTATGTGTAACAAACAATCACACACTCACACAGGGAGACAGAGCGCAATGATAGGGTTGATATGTGAGTGATGCAAGATCATCATTTAGGCATGTCTACAAATCCAAGTAACTACCACTTTCTTCCTTTACGTGCTGCTCCTTTCCCTGTATGAGGGTCCTTTTGATCCCCATATGGGTGGTATGAATAATCACCCCACCTCTTACTTTAAAGATTGATTCATTTCGTATTGTGCTTTTGTTTTTTAATAAATTAATGTGACTGTGATCATGTCATGCACTCTCATTTCTATCTAGCATTTTGTCATTTTTATGAAGATCCTTTTTCTTCTAACTTTCAATGAATGAAAAAAATAAAAATAAAAATAGAGAAAGATGTGCCAGATATAAACAAACAAATAGGCATAGTATTTACACACATTAATTTAACACCATATTTTGTGGTTTTTCAGAACATTAGTAACTTATGTTTAGTTTTTAGTAATTTAATATTGTAATCGTTAGTTTTTATTGAATTTTCAAAGATGTTGACATAATGACATATATAATAACAAAGTGATAAGCATTGAAGAATGTTAGAAAAAAATGAAAGTGGAAAATGTACAAGATAATATTTATTATAGATAAAAGTCACTTCATTCACATCTCATATTGGTAGCGATCGACAAGAATGACTATGCTACAGCCTATAAAGCATGGACACTTTTCTTTGGTAAATAGTTGTTAAACATTTAAATAGAACTGGAATGGGTGACATGATCAATAGAAAATAGCAGTAGACCAAGATTCTATCGGTGGCGGATTCAGGAAATTAATGAAAGATGGGTATTGTTTAAGTACATATAGATCTGGGTCTGGTCTGAACGCGACTTGTGAGCATGTGTCGGCTAGCTGGGTCTGATTTAGATCTAGATTTGGACAGATTGTGACTTAACTTGACCGATGATAGAGAAAGAAATAAATGTTCTAACTTCTAATAACGAAGATTGAGGTTTGAAAGGAGATGAATCAGTATGTAGATGCAAACGAGCTCTCTGTTGTTAGGTTTGGATAATAAAGGTGGAGGAGGAAAAAAAAAAACTTACAAGAAAATAAAATAGAAGGAGAAAAATTAAAGGAGTAGGATATTATAACAATCAACTAGGGTTACCACCAATGTTACTACCAATCAATTTCACCGTTAGATCGATTATGTTGATCTAACGATTATATTTACTTTCATCTTGTATGGTTATGATCCCCATATTTAATGTAAAATCATTAACTGTGGGAAATCGTAATCATACAAAGGTGAAAATAAATATAAAGTATTAAATATGGGGAATTATAACCATAGAAAGATAGAAATAAATATAACCGTTGGATCAACATAATCAATCTAATGATTGGTAGTAATATTGGTGATAACACTATTTGGTTGTTACAATATCCTACCCAAAATTAAATTAGGAAATTTTAAATTTTAAGAGAAAAATATTTTTATATTTTTGCATCAAATTTTAAGAGTGGGCACTTGTCCCCCTCTCTAACACTTGGATTCGCGTATCCTCGTTGTGAAGTGGAATAATCACTGGCAAGTGGCAATATCATAAATAAGAAGCTCATCAACTTATATTGACGTAAAAATAAAAAATCTCATATCTAGTTTTGGTTATTGATTCAATAGTATTCAATGTTTACATAATTAATAAATTAAAGTCATTAGATATAATTAAAATTAATGGTCACAATTGAGAGCCGTAACTTATACTAATTAATATAAAAAAATAATTAATATAAAATATGTATCCAAAAAAATAATAATTAATATAAAATAATAATGTCATAGTTGTGATGACTTTAATTTTGTTAAAAAGTTGCATTGAACTCAATGCCGAGTTTGGGGTGAGTGCTCCAAAAAAGTGGTTTGTCTGAAGATACATGAGAGATATCCCGATACCTTTATAAATATAAAATGTATTACACAGAATTATATCCCCACTTGAACAAAATGAGTTTTTTTTTGAATATTACATCATTGACTAAGGCAATGTGTTTTCAAATTTGTGTTAACTCATTTGTCAAAAGTCATGAGGTGTTGTTTACTTTGAATAGCACCTGACATGATCAGTGATTAAGTCCTTTACAAATTCTTAATTGAACCTTGCCTAGTAATCACTTTCTTTCTCACTCACACATCACTTTTTTTTAAAAGATATTTTAATATGCTCATCGTTTTGCTACTAATTTGATTTGTGGTAAGTTTCGAAATTAAGATTTTAAACTCCTCTTATCTTTGAGAGGCGTTTAAAATTTTAATTTCAGGACTTACCTCAAATCAGACTAGTCGCGAAACGATAAATCGACTAAAATATTTCTAAAAAAAATCTCTGTTAAACTTGCTGAGATGAGGGAAAATATTGACAGATTATGAAATCGAAATTTATTGGACAACAAACACAACTTATATTATTTTTTTTTGGAAAAAAACAAAGATTACGAGTCATCAAAATTTTAAATTGTTGTCAAACAACAATTATATCAATTATATATTAATATACTTTACTGACTTCAAATTCAATGGGCGGAGCTACGTATATTTTAAGTAGGGTTCTTGCCTCTGGGTCTCCTAACTTTTTTGAATTCCTTCATTTTACATGCAATTTTTTTTTTAAATGAACTTTTGAACTTAGCCTCCTAATCAATGCATTTCTTTCTCTTTGATTACCCAAACAGAAATGTTCTTATTTTCTTTTCAAATAAAACAATATCTTCTTGCCATTTTGTCTTTGGTTTGGTGGTTACTTATTTAAAAATAGTGCATGTTTCTTTTGAATATAAAATAAATAACAATATGTATCCAAAAAAAATAAAAAAATAACAATAAGAAACAAATCACATGACTCTTTAAGATTGGCTCAAGTGACAATATGAGTTTGGCAATGTACGAATTGCCAAAAAAAGAGGGATTCAAGTTTCAGAAGCAACCTTTAAAACTAGAGCTGAATAATTACTATATCACTCGACTCAAATTTTATCTCTCACATTACTCGGCCGGGTCATAGGATTACCCAAGGACAATCATGGAATAATACAAAATAACGAATTAGATTAATTTCCATCAGATTAGAAATGGAATTCATTTAGATTAACAATATTCCTTTGCCAATGTATATATACAATAAAAATAATAATGTTAATAATAATAAAATTCACAAAAGTATATTTTTAAATTTCCTTTTGTTAAATGTTAAGCAAAATGATGAGAATGCAGAAAAGCAAAAAGCTAAAACCAGAAAGTTACGAATAGGAAAGACCCTTTACAAATTGAACCACAGAAGAATTTAAGAGTGATAGAGAGAGAGAGGTGAGAGGAAAGTTTAAAAAAGGAAGGTAAACAAGCAAGTTTTACATTATAATCTAGACAAAAATGCGTGTAATTTTAAAGGATATATATTTATATTATTTTAACAGAGAAATAGATATAAAAGATATAAGTCTTATTAAAAAAAAAATAAATAAATAAAAGTTTCACCTCTTTATATCTAGTTCTCTTCTGAAGTGACATAAATATGTATGCTTTAAAAGCAGATATACTTTCTCCTATAATTTATAACAATTAACAGCTTGTATTTGTGTAATGTACATCAGCAATTGAGGTACAATGAAGCATTGTTGAAGCACCTTAAAAGTAGATAAGTAGAAACCTTTTCAAATGCAAACTCTTTCCATTTATGTTCAGACACAACACAACACAAGAGTCATAAACCAAATGGACGCACAACAATGAACACTTTCTGATCATTCTACACTAGCCATTCAACACTTAAATGAGGGCTTGTTGCTCTAAATTCTTTCTGTGCTGGTTCCACGCCAACCTCAAACCTTCTGTGCTTGAATCCTCTGACCAAGGTTTGTGTTGTTTTCTGCATTTGTATTTTAAGCACACACCCTTTGTCTAGAATCTCTTGCTCAGCTTAAAAATGTAATCTTTATTGCAGAAAATGGTGGCAAGAGTGAAAAAAACTTGTGGCCGAGTTTTAGTGAGTTCAGCTTGGAGCAACTGAAGGGTGCCACAAACGGGTTCTCATCAGAAAACATAGTGTCTGAGCATGGTGAGAAAGCTCCCAATGTTGTTTACAAAGGGAAGCTTGAGAATGGACAATGGATTGCCATCAAACGTTTCAACAAGTTCGCTTGGCCTGATTCTCGCCAATTCATCGTTTGTTAACTTGCACTTACACTTGTTTGCACTTTCACTTCAATTTTTGAACCATTCTTGGACTTGCTTTCTTGTACTAAGCATGAAAAAAATGGTGTTTTGTCCTTGTAGGAGGAAGCCAGACAAGTTGGGAGCCTTAGAAGTGAACGTTTAGCAAATTTGATTGGTTGTTGCTACGAAGGGGATGAGAGGCTGCTAGTAGAAGAGTTTATGCCCCATGAGACTCTGGCTAAGCATCTCTTTCATTGTGGGTTCTTTGTGATTACTATAACTTTTTGTGTTAATCTTTGTTGGGTTTCAAATCTTTAGTTAAATCATGGTCTTTGGCCTTTGAATTCTGAACACAGAAAAAAAAAAATTATGGTTGATTTGGTGCAGGGGAGGCACAGCCCATGAAATGGGCAATGAGGTTGAGGGTGGCTTTCTACTTAGCTCAAGCTCTAGAATATTGCACTAGTAAAGGAAGGGGCTTGTATCATGATCTCAATGCCTATAGGATTTTGTTTGATCAGGTATAAGGGGTATTGGTTGTGAAATATGTGCTTGAAGTTCCCTTTCTAATCAATCCTAGCTTCTTTCTTTTTGTGAAATATGTGCTTATGTTGTATCAACAGGATGGTAATCCTAGGTTGTCGTGCTTCGGGCTCATGAAGAACAGCAGAGATGGCAAGAGTTACAGCACCAACTTGGCTTTCACCCCTCCTGAGTACTTAAGAACTGGTGAAGTTTTTAGGATGTTATCTTTGGCATATAACTTCTGAAGTCACAAAATAAAAGAAGTCTGAGGAATCTGCCATTGATTCAACCATAAAATATAGATTGGTTTGAATGGTCATAGACCTATTAATAATATTCCAATTTCCCTGTCTGTTAAGACAGGATCTTTATTTATTGCATCATAAAGAGGGCCTGCATTTAATTTTACATCCACTTTTGCAAATTAGTTGGAATAAGATTAGAAGAAAAAAGTATAAAAAAAGTTGATTAATTGCTTTTTTCAGTTTTTGGAATGTAAATATTGGCTTTGTTATATGGGAATTTTATGTTCAAATTCATCTTGTAAAAGACAACTTACAATTTTTTTTTCTTGTTTCCCTAGCCTAAGGATAACCCTTCTTTTTATGATCTCTCTCTCAAATTGGAAGCATGGTGAGGGAAACATATGTGGGATCAGTTTGCATATATTGGCATGTGACAGATGTTCTTTTGTACATTTCGGTTTATACGCAGGTAGAGTGACACAAGAGAGCGTGGTTTACAGTTTTGGAACCCTGTTGCTAGATCTCTTGAGTGGTAAACATATTCCCCCAAGCCATGTAAGTTTTTCTTCAAAAAGTTTAGTCCTGAACAAACTGTAACTTCATATGTGATCTTCAGACCATTGATTTTCGACAAGAATGTTAATGGCTGATATAATTAAGAATACACATTCAGTTTGTGGGATATACTATCATATATGTGTGTGTGTGTGTTGAACTACTGAAAAGTTAAGGAATAGTATATTTGGTATGTTGAACTCCAATTTGGGCTTTTTTTTACGAATATTCAAAGAGTTGATAGAAAGGACAGTGTTCTATACTCTTCAGCATTCTTCTAGTATAGTAGTCATATTGTCAATTAGTTTGTTACTCAGATCTATTTCAAGTTGCAAAATAGTACTTCTCAGTGGTAACATCTGTGCCAAATCTTTAATGTTCATACAGAATGGACATTAATGAAGTGCAAATATTTGATGTTTGATGTACCAAACTAAATGCAGTAGAAATATTTGATGTTCTCAGCATTCACTTCTCTTTATTTGCAGGCACTTGACCTGATTCGTGGCAAAAACTTTTTGATGTTGATGGATTCTGCCTTAGAGGGTCACTTTTCAAAGGATGATGGAACTGAGTTGGTTCGTTTGGCTTCTCGTTGTTTACAATATGAAGCTCGTGAGAGACCAAATGCAAAGTCTCTAGTTGCATCTCTCATGTCACTTCAGAAAGAAACAGAGGTAAACCCCGCAAATGATAGATAAGCTTTGATAATATCTACATTAATTGCTATACATATTCTTCCCTGATTTATAAACCTGGTTTTTTTATCATTTTAATCATCCTTTGCCAATTGTTGTGTTTCTTAAGCTGGCTGATTATCACTAAAGTGGATTGAAATTTTAAGTATGTAATGGTTGTTTACACATAGTTTAGGACTATGCAAATGTTAATATATATTTAATTACTAAAGTATTATGTTTGTTGTAAAGCAATGTGTGAAATGTTTTATACCAATCTTAGGATGACTATAATTTCTCATTTGGATAGTATATGAGTAGGTGGCCTCATATGTTCTGATGGGTCTCCGGCATGAAGCTGCACCCTCAACAAAACCATTGTCATTGACACCTTTTGGTGAAGCTTGTTTGAGATTGGATCTTACTGCCCTACATGAAATATTAGAGAAGAGTGGTTACAAGGATGATGAAGGAATTGCCAATGAGGTTTGCCACCATCTTCAACTTACGCAGGAGGGTTTCATCTCACTTGAATACAGTATAAAAGAGAGGGAAATGAGCTTTGTTTACACACTTTTCCCTCTACTTTCTATTACTAACTCCAATGTTGATCCTTCTTATAATGTTGGAATTGTAGCTTTCCTTTCAATTATGGACCAGTCAAATGCAGGAGACCTTGAATTTAAAGAAGCGTGGAGATAATGCTTTTAGAGCTAAGGACTTTGTCACTGCCATAGACTGCTACACTCAAGTAAGAGCCTTTTAAGGACTATTGCTTAAATTGGATGTTGTTAATATTGCTGTGATAAGTCTAATATAAAATTATTAACGTACACATCACTTACAATCTTAAATTATTGGGTTGAAATTGTTACTTTATATGATATCAAAGCTTGTCACTAACTTTACCACCTTCATTTTATTAATAAATAATTAATTATTATGGAACTTCTTAATACAGGTAAATGGTCCTGTACTCCTGTGTATTATTTATTCTTCAAGTCCGACAAACTCTTATACGAGGGGATATGTTAGAAATGTCTAATATAGAGATTACTTACAAATTTAAAATTTTGGATTGAAATGGTTACTTATAACTATGATATTGCACTCTATTTTCCTAATTATCCAAAAGGGTGTTTTTGAATCCCTTTAATTTAGTTGATGATGTGTATGCGTTTTCCTTCTTCCAGCATGGAGCTATGATGTGCATAATTTTGTTAGGGGAAAGTTATGTTTACAAATTTTTTATTTCAAACTATATTATGTCTCACTGATAAGATACTCTTGAATGAAGTTTTACCAGTAAGGCATAATATAGTTTGTAAAAAAAATAAAATTTGTCAGTATAACCCTTTTCATTTTCTTATATGTTTTTCTTTTTGTTATTTTAGTTCATAGATGGAGGGACAATGGTGTCACCTACAGTGTATGCAAGGCGCTGCTTATCTTATTTGATGAATGACATGCCACAAGAAGCTCTAGGGGATGCTATGCAAGCCCAAGTGGTATCTCCTGAGTGGCCTACTGCTTTGTATCTTCAAGCAGCTTGTCTTTTCAGCCTCAGAATGGAAAATGATGCCCATGAAACTCTCAAAGATGGGACTAACATGGAAGCCAGAAAAAACAAAAATTGAAAAATTGATAGAGTTTTCTTTTGCTATCTTAAGCATTATTTTACGTTTTTTTTTTTTGGTAGTTTTGTCAAGCTTGGCATTCAATTTCGTCTATTATGATTTTTTGAAATTTTTTTGGTTTTCTGCATTGCATTACGGGACAAATGATCATGACCGGTTTTAAATTTAATACGCGTGCAGGCTCTTTTTCCATCTTTCCATTTTCTTGTGGGTCCTTTTGTTATGTCCACCCAAAAACAATGCGGAATAATTTTTTTTTTCATATATATAGTTTTATTTTTGTAGAAATATTTTATTTGTTACACTCAGATATATAAAATTAGCCTAGTGCAAAAACTAGATAACTCAAATATCACAAGGCTGAAAAAGATGACAAAAAAGTTCTCATATTACAAAGTGTGTTTTGCCAATGAAAGCGCTCTCTCTCAAATTCAGTGAAATTCTCTCAAATTCAGGGAAATAGCATGGAAGATCGTTAAATTATGGGTTCCTCGTTTCTGCTGTTATTGCTCATGGAAAAACTTGCAGCAAATATATTTACATAAGATACGGAGCCGAATCATGAAATTAAAAAAAAAAATAAAAAAAAATTCTAAGATACGAAACCGAATCCTAGTGAAAGTAAGTGTTGCTGCAAATTTTCTGACCTGCAGCAACATGAGAGCTATTAAAGCCTTAAATTATTGTATATTTACTATTTCCTCATTTCGATCATCTATAAGTAAATACTCTTTTTGGTCCTCAACAAATTTCACGACACCCGTTTTAGTCCCTAGCAAATAAAAAGGCTCACCGAGATCCCTAAGAAATTCAAAATTGACCCATTTTAGTCCTTTTAGGGACTAATATGGATCTTTTTTGAATTTGTGAGGTACCAAAATTTCAACTAAATGGGTCCATTTTGAATTTCTTAGGGATCACGACGGGCCTTTTTATTTGCTAAGGACTAGAACATGCGTCGTAAAATTTGCTGAGGACCAAAAAGAGTATTTACTCATCATCTATTATAGAGTAAATACCCTTTTGGGTCCCTAAAAAAAAATACGGTCCCCACTTTAGTCCCTTACAAAAAAAAATTAGTCAGTTGGTCCCTAACAAATTCAAAGTGGACCCATTTAAGTCCAGGGACTAATATGAGTCTTTTTTGAAATTGTGAGAGACCACGATTTCAACTAAATGGGTCCACTTTGAATTTGTGAAGGACCAACTGACTAATTTCTTTTTATAAAGGACTAAAGTGGAGACCATATTTTTTGTTAGGGATCAAAAAAAAGTATTTAGTCTCTATTATATTACTCTTAATGGCAATCTCTCCTCCTATTAACTAAGGTTCCCTTGTGTTTAGCGGAAATTTCTACGATATTACAGGAGTACCAAATTTGGTATTTTTATTTACTTAAAATGGAAAAAAATTACCATTTTAACACATAACTTTTTTATAATTTCCTTCATATCCCAAAACTTTCCCCTTATAATAAAGATGTACCTACAACAGTAGTAATGTAGGTTTTTTCGTGTTTAGCGGATGTAAAATGTGAAAATTTACTAATTGCAAAAGCTACATAAATTCATAAACTGCAAAAGTAGTAGATTACAAATTTTGTATATTGCAAAAGCGAAAGCAATAAATTATAAAAAACAGTGAATCACGAAAGCCATGGGCTTGTTTGAATTTTTTTTAAAAAAACAGTTTTTTAAATTTCAGGAAAAAAATAAAAAATTTATTTCATAAGACCGGTTTTGTAAAAATAATTCTAAAAATTATAATTATTTTTTAGTTTTTAAAATAAAATTTGAAGAACATATCTGAATTATTTTTGTTTTATATTTTGACTTTTAACTTCTAAAATAAAATAAAAATACAGAAAAGACTTATTTTATTAAAAAATTTAAGAGAAAAAAAAAAAACGCAAAGACTATATATATAAGGGAATTTAGGGGGGTTTTATTTTTCTTTTTTGAATACTTAATTTGTGAGATGAACTAGTTTAATGATATGCCATAAATTTGTATGCTAGTGAACAAAATGCCATGAATAAGATAACACTGTAAGAAGGGACTAGTCCCGAATCAGACTAGTCACAAAACGATGAACAGATTGAAATATTTCAAAAAAAATAAAAATAAATGCCATGAACAAGATAACATTGTCTTTCATTAACATAAAACCCTTTTACCAAAGGTAAACTAATTTTGAAGGATTTAGATTCATGCAGTTTAGAAACAAAATACAAGGGATCTTTGATCCAATCCAAAATTAGCATTCCAAATTGTCATTAAGGTACTTGATTCAAAATTCTTTCTTGTTTTTTATTTTATTTTCTCGTATCATTTTTATTAACAAATTGCAAGAATTGGGCTAAGATAGAAAATAAAATTTAGGACCATCCAAGAACATATATGTTGGTGTGCGGATCACTTAAGAAAAATTTCAAAGATGATTGCACAAACACAAATGCATACCTCCAAGTAATAATTGGGAGTATAATGTCCCGGTTATCATACCCAGATGGAAAGTTACTTTGGATTTGATTAAAAGAAATGTAATCGGTAAAATCTATGTATTTACAAGTATAAATAGTAATTGAGGAACATCAATGTAATTGTTAATGTTAGCTTGGAATTTCAATTTGGCCAATCGTTCCTCCTCAAATACGTGTATTGTGTTTACACGGCTAAAGTATAAGTTGACTCAAACCAATTCCTCCCGTCGTTATACACGGTTGGTTCTTCCTTACTCATAAAGAATGAGAGATCATAGGAACAATTTATCAGGAATGGTTGTGGAATAAAAGGAATTAAACTTACAAAAATGTAAATATTTTGCTGTACGTTTTTTCTTTTTGAAAATTCCCAGGAAGGAAAATGAACTCTCACTAACAAAAAATATTAAAATCAAAGGGACACTGAATAAGAAAGCAGGAACAGATTCGCTGGTTCCCCACTTTGTAATCTGAATCTTGGCTCAGTGCCTTAAGACAATGGAATTGTTCAAGTCACTTGCCATTGCCAATGTAGATTCCTCTTATTCTTGGACTTATTGGTTTATAGAACCACAATCTTCTTTGCGATTCTGTTCCCAAAGAATGAGTGCTAGACCTATGCCTATTCCCAAAGAATTGGTGCTAGACCTATGCAAGGAACTCAAGTTATTCCTCGTTCTGGAGTTACACATGAAGTATATTAACACATTCATCTCTCGACTATTGCTTAAAATTTGGGGGAGTAGTGGGCTATTGGACTTCTTATTTCCTTTTCAATTTCCTACATAATAGTATAAAAGAAAGTAAATGAGTAATTGGGCCAATATGAAGTGTAAAATTGGGCCAATATGAAGTGTAAGGCCTTTTTTTCTCTTTTCCTTTCTTAGTAACGAGTTTGGTGCACACAAAAAGATATATTTTTATTTATTTTTTTCCTCTTTTTTCTTTGGAGTTAAAGGAAAAAAAACCCAAAGAGAAAACCAATTAGCTATAGACCATTCTAGGGATTTCTACACTACATAAGAGGACTATCAAGGATTTCCAAATCTCATGCTTGGTAGGTTGCACTAGAAGCCAGCCAATCAGCTAAGGCATTTTCTTTTCTAAGAGCTCATTTGGTGGACATGATAGAATAAGAGAACTGGATAAATGTAGGATATAATATGGGCATGATAAGCTCATGTCATATTCTGCATTTGATGTACACTGGATAGACAAACTGATAGGATTGCATTATCCTATTATGTGTTTGAAATCAATCAGATAACGTCAAAATATGATATAATTAGACAAAAATACCTTTTATAGCATAATTTTATATACTTTTTAATTTTTTTTCTTTTAACTTAATTATGTATTAATTCCTATTTCTAATTATTCACAATTTCTAAAACTCTTTTTTTAAAAGAAAAAAAAGGTTCATTTAAAAAGACCTGTTAACCAAAATGCAAAAACATTATCAAGATCAGGGTCCAATAGGGTTTGATTTTCTCAAGTGGGTTTTCATATATTTTTCCTTTGGTTTTTTCTTTTTTCAGTGGAGAAATGCGATAGAAGGAACGAGATATGACTCTCTACAGAGGCAAGACGTGAGGTAGAAGACTAGGGGTGTCAAAACGGGTTGACACGACATGAATTTGACACGATAAGAATATATCAACACGAACACGACACAAATTTTTATTCGTGTCAAAATCTTCAACACGAACACGACACGATTTTTTTACGGGTTGAAACGACACGACACAAATAACATGCAAAATAGGGGTTAAAACGATAATTGATTTTTTTATTTAAAAAAGGGTCAAAATTTAAAAAAATTATAATTAAAAAAGATATGGGTCAACATGAACACGAATACATCATTACGAATTCGACACGATTTTTTTTGCGAGTCAACCCAGAGAGGAATTTTCTTGTCGTGTCGCGGTCGACCCGCGTGTCATAACCTATATTGACATCCTATAGAAGACAAAGATTTTGGATGGCTGAGAAGACGAAGGAAGATGGTGATAAGGCGATGGAGATAGCGGAGTGGGTGAAAGATAAGGCCAAGGAGGGTGCATGTGGAGCGAAGGAGAATATAGAAGAGATTACGGGGTCGATGAAAGAGAAGTTGAAGAGTGCAGGGGAGAAGACGAAGCAGACAATGCAAGGGGCGTGGGATGCAGCTGTCCTTAAGAGCTATTGTGGGAAAAATAAAAAATTAAATTTATTATCCTATCCTATCCCTTTCTTAACCCAAGCCCCCTCTTAGGACATGTTTGATATATAGTATATGATAAGGTCTGATAGTATAAAACATGATAGTATAAGGTCTGATTGTATAAAATCTGATTAAATTTTAATATTATCCATCATTTGGCATGGTATTGTATCAGATAATATAGTGTATCAGATAATATCATTCAGTGTTTGGTAATGCATTGTATGATACTAGATATGATAAAAATAAATATTTTTGACAAGAATACCTTTTAATAAAAAATTTATATAATTCTTTCAAATATGTCATAT